CCTGGTCAGTCAAAAGGCCAAACAGGGCATAAGGTTACAGCCTGTGTCGGATGGGGTTACATTCTCCTTGAAGATGCAGGTTTGCAGTTTGGGAGTGATCCTGGATTAATCGCTAAGCCTGGAACCCCAGGTTTTGGCATTGGCCAGGGGAGCATTTGCACAGCTAAAACTTGTGCGCCAGCTGCACTTGGGAAGTCTGAATTGGCCACGGTAGTCCATGCTCTGGTTACATCCCATATAAACTACTGCAATACACTCTACATGGGGTTGCCTCTGAAGACTGCCCGGAAGCTTCAATTAATCCAACGATCGGAAGCCAGGTTGCTTACAGGAGCAGGTTACAAGGAGCTCACAACTCCCTCGTTACACCAGCTCCACTAGCTGCCAATAAGCTTCTGAGCACAATTCAAAGTGCTTGTTTTAAGCTACAAAACTCTACACGGTTCTGGCCTGCTTTACCTGTCCAAACGCATCTCCTCCCATAAACCATCAAGGATGTTAAGATCTTCTGGAGAGGCCCTGCTCTCGGTCCCACCACCTTCGCAGTCATGTTTGGTGGGGACAAGAGACAGGGCCTTCTCTGTGGTGGCCCCCCAGCTATGGAACTCCCCCCCCCCCGGTTAGATTAGGTCTGCTCCCTTCCCTCCTATCCTTCAGGAAGCAACTAAAATCCTGGCTGAGGAATCAGGCATTCGCAGATTGATGGATGATCCGGTACAGTTTTAAGTGGTAATGGATAACAACAATTGGATTGAGTTTGATGATGAGTTTTAACTTGATGAACTAATTTTATACGTATTTTAGAATGTATTTGATCGGTATGTTGTTTTTATGATGTTATTTATTATATTGTATAGCATTGAATTTTTGCTGTTAACCCTTCTGAGTCCCTCCACGGAGGTAGAGAACAATGGGATACAAAAGTTTTAAATAAATAAATAAATAATATGCTAACCCAGGCATGGGCAAACCTCAGCCCTCCGGGTGTGATTGTTTTTATACTGTTTTATACTGTTTTGTTGCTATATTGTTATTTAAATTGTATATTTATGTTTTTGGTTGTGGGCACCATGGAGTGTCGGTTTGTTAGCCGCCCTGAGTCCCTTTGCGGAGGTCAAGATAGGACTGGATACAAATGAATAAATCTTGAATAAATAAATAAATACATCTTGCTGTTCACCTAATGTCAATTTGTTTTGTAATGTGACTGATTATTATCTTTAATCAGATCTAAGTCATATCTTTATTAATGACTTAGATGAAGGGTTAGAAGGCAGGATCATCAAGTTTGCAGACGACACCAAATTGGGAGGGAGAGCCAATACTCCAGAGGACAGGAGCAGGATTCAAAACGATCTTGACAGATTAGAGAGATGAATGGCCAAAACTTAACAAAATGAAGTTCAACAGGGACAAATGCAAGATACTCCACTTAGGCAGAAAAACGAAATGCAAAGATACAGAATGGGGAACAAATCCTGGCTCGAGAGCAGTACGTGTGAAAAAGATCTTGGAGTCCTCGTGGACAACAAGTTAAACATGAGCCAACAATGTGATGTGGGGGCAAAAAAAGCCAATGGGATTTTGGCCTGCATCAATAGGAGCATAGTGTCTAGATCTAGGGAAGTAACGCTACCCCTCTATTCCGCTTTGGTTAGACCACACCTGGAATATTGTGTCCAATTCTGGGCACCACAATTCAAGAGAGATATTGACAAGCTGGAATGTGTCCAGAGGAGGGCGACTAAAATGATCAAGGGTCTGGAGAACAAGCCCTATGAGGAGCAGCTTAAGGAGCTGGGCATGTTTAGCTTGAAGAAGAGAAGGCTGAGAGGGGATATGATAGCCATGTATAAATATGTGAGAGGAAGCCACAGGGAGGAGGGAGCAAGCTTGTTTTCTGCTTCCCTGGAGACTAGGACGCGGAACAACGGCTTCAAACTACAAGAGAGGAGATTCCGCCTGAACAAGAACAAGACAAGAACAAGACGAAGCGGATTTTTAGTTAAGTAGTTGTATGTTAGTAAGATGTTGTGTTATGGACCTGATTACTGTAACTGTCGTCTGTATGTTCTATGTTTTGTACACCGCCACGAGTCGCCTTCGGGCTGAGAGTGGCGGTCAATAAGTGCAAATAATAAATAAATAAATAATAAACATGAGGAAGAACTTCCTGACTGTGAGAGCCGTTCAGCAGTGGAACTCTCTGCCCCATAGTGTGGTGGATGCTCCTTCACTGGAGGTTTTTAAATAGAGGCTGGATGGCCATCTGTCAGGAGTGCTTTGAATGTGACTTTCCTCCTTTTTTGGCAGGGAGTTGGACTGGATGGCCCATGAAGTCTCTTCCAACTCTATGATTCTATGATTCTATGATTCTATGATGTTGTTGTTGGCGTCTAATGGTTGCACCGGGACTGTGGCGCAGCTGCCTGGGAGTCACTGACCAAAAGGTCATGAGTTCGAAGCCAGCCCGGATCAGAGTAGGCTTCTGAAAGACAGTTGCATCTGTCAAGTATGAAATTTAGGTATCACTAATTTAATTAATTTACGAGGCCATAAAAATCTCCAGCAAGCATGCAAAGAATGAGGAAGTACTTAATCAGTGTCACAAATGGATGGTGAAGCAACAGCTCCCCTGGTGGCCAGAATACCCTCATTAAAAAGCTGGAATGTTAAATAGCCTCTGTGTGTCTGTCTATATACGTTGTGTGTCTATGTCATTGAATGTTTGCCATGTATATGTACATTGTAATCTGCCCTGAGTCCCCTGTGGGGTGAGAAGGGCAGAATATAAATACTGTAAATAAATAATAATAAATAAATTTGTAAGCCACCCTAAGTCCCTCCTTGGGGGTTGAGAAGGACGGGCCAAAAATGTTTGAAATAAATAAACAAATCTAGCGCAGTGGTTCCCAACCTGTGGGTCCCCAGATGTTTTGGCCTTCAACTCCCAGAAATCCTAACAGCTGGTAAACTGGGATTTCTGGGAGCTGTATGCCAAAACACCCAGGGAGCCACAGGTTGAGAGCCAAAACACCCAGGGAGCCACAGGTTGAGAACCACTGGTCTAGTGGTTGGACTGCATGGCCTTTGGCCTTCTAGCTAAACTTCTAAATTCTATAATCTTTATTCAAAAATTAAGATGGACAAGATCAATATGAGCATTGAGCAGGGTCTTCCTTGGGGCAAGTGCCAGAAACACATGGCTCTCACCATTAAACATAGAGGTGCTTCATTCCTTTGTCATTAAGGCAAAGCTCTCTGAAGCTCTAGGTGCCCTTACCGCCTACTACAGGGAAAACCAGCTGATCCCTAATCCATCTAAAACACAGACATGTGCTTTCAACTGAAGAACAGACAAGCATCCCGAGCTCTGGGGATTATTACCTGGGAAGGAATCCCACTGGAGCATTGCAGCGCACCCAAATACCTGGGAGTCACTCTGGACCGTGCTCTGACCTACAAGAAGCACTGCCTGAACATCAAGCAAAAAGTGGGTGCTAGAAACAATATCATATGAAAACTGACTGGCACAACCTGGGGATCACAACCAGACACAGTGAAGACATCTGCTCTTGTGCTATGCTACTCTGCTGCTGAGTATGCATGCCCAGAGTGGAACACACCTCACCACACTAAAACAGTGTATGTGGCTCTTAATGAGACATGCCGCATTATCACAAGGTGTCTGCGCCCTACACCACTGGAGAAATTTCACTGCTTAGCCGGTATTGCACCACCTGACATCCACCGGGAAGTAGCAGCCAATAGTGAAAAAACCAAGGCAGTGACATCTCCAGCCCATCCCTTGTTTGGGTATGAGCCAGCACGTCAACGACTTAAATCAAGAAATAGTTTTCTAAAGGTACAGGTGCTTACCTACAAAGCCCTAAACGGTTTGGGACCCATCTACCTTCGTGACCGCATTTCTGTATACGAACCCACACGATCTCTTCGTTCATCTGGTGAGGCCCTGCTCACGATTCCACCTGCTTCACAGGCGCGTTTGGTGGGAACGAGGGACAGGGCCTTTTCGGTGGTGGCCCTGCAACTCTGGAACTCCTTCCCTAAGGACATCAGGCAGGCCCCAACACTGGCAATCTTTAGAAGGAGCTTGAAAACATGTGCCTTCCCAGAATAAGGAATCCTAAGCAATATGTCCTTAATGCACTTTATGAGAGATTTAGAATTGTCTGCACGTCTTCCTATCCCAAAACACTCCTCCTATCTCCCTTGAACTCCCCAGTTTTTAACTTTAAATGTTCACATTTGGCCCTGCCTCATGTTTTTAAATGTGTCATGATATTATTGTTATTGTTTTGCTTTATAAGTTATTTATTGTTGTATTGTTGTTGTGTTTTACTGATGTATTTGGGCTCGGCCTCTTGTAAGCCGCACCGAATCCTGCGGGAGATGGTAGCGGGGTATAAATAAAGGAAAACAAGAAATAGTTTTCTTAGATCTACAGAGACACTCGCTGGAACACCTCAGCAAGCGAGAGTCCAAAAGTGGCAGGCTCAAACCCAGAACCTCAATGGCTGATACCAAATGAAAGACTCCCCCCTGGGCACACAGAAGACTGGGCGACTTGGAAGGCGCTGAACAGACTGCGCTCTGGCACCACGAGATGCAGAGCCAACCTAAGAAATGGGGCCACAAAGTGGAATCCTCGACATGCGAGTGTGGAGAAGAGCAAACCACTGACCACCTGCTGCAATGCAACCTGAGCCCTGCCACATGCACAATGGAGGACCTTCTTGCGGCAACACCAGAGGCACTCCAAGGGGACAGATCCTGGTCAAAGGACATTGAATCAACTACCAAGCTTGAAAATTTTGTGTTTTCTCTGTTTGTTTGTTTGTTTTGTTCTGTTAGAAATGTAATACAATTGTCTGATTGCCCCTGACACGATAAATAAACTCAACACAGTGATCATGCCAGCTGAAACATTACGAGGATTGTAGTTCAAAAATGATCATGCCTTAGATAAAATGCCATACCTTCAGAAGGGTCAAGTCTCCTCGCCCTCCGTCCATGTTTTGAGTTGTTGTGAACAAACATATTGTCCGATACTGCCAGTACGTGCCCATCGACGTTCACGGTTGTTGACAATACAACCTAGATATCACAAAGATAGGGAAAGAAAAGACAGGTAAATTGCTTTTGGCATGTTCCACGTTTGATGCATTAATTACTTAGCCCAGTTTAATTCCCATTCTATTTTTGTAAAATGAAATCGTGTCCTGGGGGGATTGATTCCCTCATTGGGAAGGATCTTTCAGTCTTGCATTAATTCCACTTAGCATCGAATCCTGAGTACTGTAACAAGCTTTGTGCCTTGGGAGTGATCCTGGACTCATCGCTGAGCCTGGAACCCCAGGTCTCAGCTGTGGCCGGGAGAGCTTTTGCGCAATTAAAACTTGTGCACCAGTTGCGCCCGTACCTCAGGAAGTATGATCTGGCCACGGTGGTCCACGCTCTTGTTACATCCCGAATAGACTACTGCAACGCTCTCTACGTGGAGTTGCCCTTGAAGACTGTTCGGAAACTTCAACTAGTCCAGCGAGCGGCAGCCAGATTGCTCACCGGAGCGACATACAGGGAGCACACCACCCCCTGCTGTTGTGCCAGCTCCACTGGCTGCCGGTTCTGTTCCGAGCACAATTCAAGGTGCTGGTTTTGACCTACAAAACCCTGTACGGTTCCGGTCCAGTGTATCTGTCCGAACGTATCTCCCTCTACGTCCCACCCCGGAGTCTGAGATCATCTGGGGAGGCCCTGCTCTCGCCCCCACCACTGTCACAAGTGAGGCTGGTGGGGACGAGGAGCAGGGCTTTCTCAGTGGTGGCCCCTCACCTGTGGAACTCACTCCCGGGGGAAATCAGGGCATCATCATCCCTCCTCGCCTTTAGGAGAAGGGTGAAGACTTGGTTATGGGACCAGGCCTTTGGGCACTCCGGCAACTAAATCAGACAACCAGGCGAGTAAGACCAGCAGGATTGATGAAGTGGAACGTAAAACTAGATCTATGAGTAGCGAACGCTGACCATGTAAGAGGAGAAATTGGGTTTGTATTTGGTTTTATCGATTTTATGGTTATAATGTATATTTGTTGTTAACTGTGTATTGATGTAATTCTGTGTTTGATTGTCTTTATGATGCAGGCATCAAATTGTGCCTTTGCTTTTGTAAGCCGCCCTGAGTCCCCTTCGGGGTGAGAAGGGCGGGGTAAAAGAACCCCAAATAAATAAATAAATTGGGAGCAGAATATACCCATAGTTTGCAGATGGTTTCACCTTTCTTTTATTTTTTTATCAATTTCTTCCAGGCATTCTTTGAGAGACAGTTGTAAATGCATGGAAGGGGGTTGGAACCATGCTTTAAATTTCCTGCCCTTACTTTCCATGTATTGATCAGCTTTATCCACACATGTACAGATTAGAGGAACATACTGCTTAGAGTTGTGAGACTCTTGGGAACTGAGGACCATTATTGAAGATTTGGTTGGCATGGATATCTTTGGTATGAAAAAGTCAAGGCACAAGCTGAATTGGAAAATCATTGTATTGGGAAGGCTCTCCTAAGGCTCTGCCATAAGTAGAGACTTCTTCCTAAGACTTCTTCCTGCGTACCTGTCCGAACGCATCTCCCTCTACGTCCCACCTCGGAGTTTGAGATCTTCTGGGGAGGCCCTGCTCTTGACCCCACCTCTATCACAAGTGAGATTGGTGGGGACGAGGAACAGGGCCTTCTCGGTGGTGGCCCCTCACCTGTGGAATTCACTACCCGGGGAAATTAGGTCATCGACATCCCTCCTTTCTTTCAGAAGGAAATTAAAAACATGGTTGTGGGACCAGGCTTTCAGGCAATCTGGCGGTTAGATAAGGACAATGATGACCAGAATCGATGGTACTGACAATGTGGAATGAATTTACGGACTTTGAGATGGCGAACGCCGAGTTTAAGATTGTTTTTATTGATTTTGATGTATAGACTGACTGTTTAGTTGCTATAATTTGCTGTTTACATGTTTTTATCCATTGTTATGTTTGTGCTGGCATCGCCCTGAGTCCCCCCCCAGGGGTTGAGAAGGGCGGGGTAGAAATGCGGGAAATAAATAAATAAATATTAACCACCCAATTGCAATGCACTTTATGTGGGGCTGCCTTTGAAGACTGCCCAGAAGCTTCAACTAGTCCAACGGTCGGCAGCCAGGCTGCTCACCAGAGCGGTGTACAGGGAGCATACAACTCCTCTGTTACGTCAGCTCCACTGGTTGTCGATCTGCTACCAAGGACAATTCAAAGTGCTGGTTTTAACCTTTAAAGCCCTGAATGGTTCTGGCCCAGACTACCTGTCGATGTTTAAAATCATCTGGAGAGGCCCTGCTCTCGATCCCACCGCCATCGCAAATACAATTGGTGGGGATGAGGGACAGGGCCTTCTCAGCAGTGGCCTCCTGTCTGTGGAATTCTCTCTCCAGGGACATCAGATTAGCTACCTTCCTCCCTCAAGACTTGGTTGTGGGACCAAGCATTTGACTACTGAATAGCAGCAAATGAGAAGAAGACGCAAGCAATTCGAAGCGACAATCAATGACCCAGACTTTGATTTTGACTGGTGTGTTTTTTAACAACTGTTTATTTAATGTCTTGTTTTTAATGAATTTATTGCATGTTTTTATGATTGTGATGCCACCGAATGGTGCTTGCTGTGAGTCCCCCATCTGGGGTGAGAAAGGCGGGGTACAAATGTAGGAAATCTATATAAATAGAAATGTAATGTAATGTTTGTTTGTGGGATTAACATAACTCAAAAACTGCTGGACGAATTGACATGAATTTTGGACACTATACCCCTAACAGACCAACAAGTGACCATCAGTTGCCAGTTGCGCCCGTACCTTGGGAAGTCTGACTTGGCCACGGTAGTCCACGCTCTGGTTACATCCCGTTTAGACTACTGCAACGCTCTCTACGTGGGGTTGCCTTTGAAGACTGCTCGGAAGCTTCAATGGTCCAGCGCTCGGCAGCCAGGTTGCTAACGGGAGCGGCACTCAGGGAGCATACCACTCCTCTGCTGAGCCAGCTCCACTGGCTGCCAATCCGCTACCGGGCACAATTCAAGGTGCTGGCTTTAGCCTATAAAGCCCTAAACGGTTCTGGCCCTGCTTACCTCTCCGAATGCATCTCCACCTATGAACCGACGAGGACATTAAGATCGTCTGGGGAGGCCCTGCTCTCGATCCCGCCTGCATCACAGGCGCGCTTGGCGGGGACGAGAGACAGGGCCTTCTCAGTGGTGGCCCCTCGGCTATGGAATGCCCTACCGGCAGACATCAGACAGGCACCTTCGCTGCTGACGTTTCGGAGAATGGTTAAGACCTGGCTTTATGAACAAGTGTTTGGTTAAGCAGTGCAACCAATCATAGGAAGACGGTAAATGGAACATAGGAATGGCACAAGGATTATGAGAACGGATCTGATTTCAACTGAGGCGTTATGTTATGTCTGTTTTGTTGATCTGTCTTGTTGATTGTTAACTGTTGTGGATTGATGCTGTTGATCCTGTTTGTTGCATTGTTATGTTTTAATTGCACTGACACTGTTTGATAATTGTACCATGTAAACCGCATTGAGTCGCCTGTTAAGGGCTGAAAAATGCGGTATAGAAATAAAGCAAATAAATATAGAAATAAAGCAAATAAATAAATCACTAATAAAACCCCCTTAAAAACAGCAGAAAGGACTTAAAACCCCCAAAAATCTAAATTACGAAAAGCTAAATCACACTTTTTAGGCGATCCCTCGTTGGATGAGTAAGATGGTCTTCCTTGATGACTATTTTTGTGGGTTTGTAGGTGGCTGTGGAGCCCTATTCTTGACCCGCATCTTCTCCCACAGTGGAGGCATTGGTTTCCAGGCGGAAGGCAGTCCCGGTCGGGGTTGGCTTGACGCGCCTTCCTCCTGGCACGTTTCTCTCTTTCACCCTCCACTCGTGCCTCCTCGGATTCTGCAGCACTGCTGGTCACAGCTGACCTCCAGCTGGAGTGGTCAAGGGCCAGGGCTTCCCAGTTCTCAGTGTCTATGCCAGAGATTTTAAGGTTGGCTTTAAGGCCATCTTTAAATCTCTTTTCCTGTCCACCAACATTCCATTTTCCATTCTTAAGTTCACAATACAGTAGATCAATAGGTACCGCTTTGGTGGGAAGGTAACAGCGCTCCATGCAGTCATGCCAGCCACCTGTTATTGGAGGCGTCTGTGGACAACGCTGGTTCTTCGGCTTAGAAATGAAAATGATCACCACCACCCAGAGTTGGACTCAACTAGATTTAATGTCAAGGGGGAAAATGGGTTGTTGTAGGTTTTTTGGGCTGTATGGCCATATTCTAGAAGCATTCTCTTCTGATGTTTCACCTGCATATCTGGCAAGGATCCTCAGGATGCTTGCAGATATGCAGGTGAAACATCAGGAGAGAATGCTTCTAGAGTATGGCCATACAGCCTGAAAAACTTACAACAACCCAGTGATTCCCGCCATGAAAGCCTTCGACAATACATTCAAGGGGAAAACTTTACTTTTAAAGTTTATTTGGTTGCAGGATAGAGAAGGATCTTTGTTGAGCCATCCACTGCGTGGGAATTATCTGTCCATTGAAATCATGCATGATCCAACTCTTGGGTATTTCTCATTATCGGGAGGAAACGCAAGCTGTGACAATCTGCATATGCTTGTTTCAATATTTGGTAGACTATTGCACATGGGAACTTGGAAATAAATTGGAACAGCAAGTTGGGCGGGACAGTTGAGTAAGGCAGGAGGGTCAGTTCCACACAAAAGAACAATAATGGGGGGCAGGAACGAGGAAATCTCATCATTCCTAGGGTTTGAGGGCATGTGTCTGAGCACATCATCTCTAAAACAAATATTGTGGAGCTGGAAATGATGCACGAAAGGGGCATCCGCAATAGTCAGGGGACTGAAGTCATTCCACTGCATCCCAAGGTTACTTCACTTGGGCGCCTCGGTTTTAGGGAAATAAAGGCAACAAATTGGAGAAATTATTGAGGTCGGTCCAATTAGAAATAGTGGGTTTTCCTCTTTCTCTGATCATTGC